GTTAAATTTAAATTTTATATATGTAGATATAGTAATAAATTTTTATGTGGAATATGAATATTGTCATAGTTATGACAACATAACTAATTCGATGTATTGTATGTGAAAATTGTTAACGAAAATTTAAAATATATTTATAATTCAAGTGAATCTTGGTTGGTTTATAATTTTAGAATCTTTTAATAGAGGTTAGGGAATAATTATGTGCCTTCAAATTAATGATTTATTATTAGTTTAAAGATAAACCTATATATATGTTCCATACACTTTTTCAGCTGTTGGCGGCTGTGTATTCAGTCGTTGGTTGCTGTGTATTTGCACATCTGTGCATTTGATTTATAATATTATTTATCATTTTTTTTGTTAAAAAAAAAAACCTATGTATATATATGTTCTACACACGTCATTATTTGGAATCAAAATCAGTAAAATACACATTTAAAAGAGTACTTGTCACCTAAAACACAACTTTCCACAATATTCCATTATTTTATAGAGGATGCTTTCGTAAGTACTTGATAAAATTAATGTATTAGGACAACACGTGTTTGTACTTAGTTGAATATATGTGCATAAAATTATTAAAAATAAAAATAAATAAATAAAAAAAAAAATCTTCACAGCTCATACAGATTGCAGATAAACTTTTGTGTTTTTTGTTTTAATTATTTCCTGCGCCCACGTTGGAAGAAAAAAATAAATAAATAAATTAATAAAAGAATTCCAGTTAATATAATTTAGAAAATATTCAGGTAATTAATTGATGAGGATCATATATATTTTATTTGGGGAATTATTATTATGTACTAATGGGTATCAAGTTCCTCGACTTATTGACTTTTTTTTTCTTTCGTGTTATTTAGCTTTGGAATATGTAGTCTTTTCAAAATAACTCTAACATGACTATATATGATGCGATATTATATTCTCTAATTAAATTGCAATGACTTTAGTACCAATTCTTGAATACATTTGTTCCCAATATAATGGATTTTATCCATAATGCATTTATGCTCTCTATCATTGCATTCTAATAAAAAGTAATTCACAATTATATGCACATTAAATAAATTATAAGTAGCATAAATTATTAATTGTTACTATTAGAATATTCATATGTTTGTGGAAAATATGTCTAATTTATAAGACTAATGGGCTACTCACTCCTCTTTCCATCAATTGGTTTTGGGATGAAATTTTTGTTTGAGCTATATCTGAGCTTTCTCTGTCTTGGTGCGCTTCACGTGTGTGAGACGACACTCGTTTTTCTCCCGTTTCTTACAGTTAGTAGACTGATGGAAACGAGCTTCTGATACTCGAGTTTTTGTTTGTCGACTCGAGCAAACGAGTTTCATTCAATTAACTTTGACAATGATTATTAGAAATATCTTGTTATATATGTAAAATTGATTAAAAAAAAAAAACTTTGAAAATCTCACAGCTGTTTTCTATGCACGTCTGTAAATAGTACCAATAGTCAGTATTTTTTGATGATATGCATAAGGCCATGTTTTTGAGATATAAATGAAAAATTTGAGTTCTTCAATATTTGTGATATGTAGTAAGGCAGACATTTTTCTCCTCAAAACTTTTTTTTTTTGGTACAGGGACTTTCCGGTTTCCGGATCCACAGGGAAACTGATTAATCCAGAATCGAGCTGGGTAGGACCACAAGGGCGGCAAAGTTCTCCCTCAAGAGTTTTAACACTGCTGCATTCCCAGGGCTCGAACACGAGACCACTAGTTAAGCTGGAAAAGACCCAAACCATCTCATCCAAGCGCTCTTGGATATCTCCTCCTCAAAACTTTGACTCAATATGCACAATTTTTGTCGTTTATTTTTGGATTTTATGGTATAAACAAAACTATTTCATACGAAGTGGGTTACGTGTGTGGTGTGATATTATTGATATATGACTTTTGGTATTCATGATGTCTACACAATAAATATTTAAATATTAAAAAGATAACATATTGACGACTTTAATACCAAATAATTATACAAAAAAAGTTAATAAAATAACGGTATATATGGCTAGCATAAGATTAATCAATTAACACTAACTCTATTATTAATTATTAGGCACAAATAACGTTATTTATATTTATTTTTTTTATATTACAAGAAAATATTTTATTTTAAAAATACAACGAGTTGACTCGCTTAATATAGTTACACTCGTTGAGTAAAAGGTCTTTTATTGCAAAATTGGGCACAAAATGGCATATATTAGAGTCTTTTTCTTGAACACGAGTAATTTTATGTTATGTCGCATTACACGTATAGTGAAGGTTATTCTAACATTTATTTTATCAAATTTTCAATTTCGAAAACCTAATAAAAGGCGTTTCGAAAAAAAAAAAAACTAATAAAAGGAACATAAAAAAATATGGAATAAATATGTCAGAATCATGGGGACATAGAGAAAAAAAAAATGATGAAAAAACTGAAAACCACACAAATGAATATATGCTGCCAAAACACCTTGATGAAGTTTCTTCAAAAAGAACAAAGGAAGAAGGAAAGTTGGCGTGCATAATTTAGGATGTTGTTATTTCGGGTTAGATTAACGAGTCATATTATAGAAAATCATGTAAAATTATATTTTCGAATCTTAATGATTTTTAAGACTTGACTTGTTAACTAAACAAGCTCAAATAATGAGTCTTGATAAGCTTGAGTCGAGTCGAGCTCACAAACGACTCATTTTTTTGACATCTATATAGAAGA